AGTCACTGTCTTTCAAGGCAAGACTAACTACTGATTATGTTAGCTGGTACAGAGCCTCCCATATATTTATCATGTACATCAAAACTTGTTTTAACAATTTCATCCTTTTTCATTGACTGTAGACTATAATATTTACTGACAGACCAAGCTATGGAGGATAAAGGAAAGTAAAAGGAAGAGAGAAAAGAAGGAAGCAGAAAAGAAAGAATAAAATGAGAGAAATAGAAATAATAGCAAGAAAAGAAAGAAAAAGGATCAAACTTAGTTGATACTGTTTTTTATAACCAGAAAAGAGTGCTGGTGGGAAAGAGGTTTGAGAGAACATTCATGTACACAGAAGAGACTCAGGGAGAAGAAAGTATAATTGGGGGTTGAGGGAAATTGTGAGAAGGTTGTTACCTATTAATACGCTGATGATAAACTTATATTCAAATCCTGAATACACAGTTTGGTGAGTTCTGAATTTCAATGAACGACACTATTTAGATTAAAGTACTGGTTTTAATTCTTACCCTTCTTTTCACATGTACAGATACTTCTCTCCTTATACACACAGATACACACACACACACACACACACACACACACAAAAGAAAGGGGATGAAGGATTATGAAAAAAGAGAGAAGAAGAAAAGAACCACAGTTTCAGAAACACAAAATTAAAGCATCTTTTCAGTTCTTTTTATACTGCAGTCTGCTCTGCACTAGGTTCACATATGGAAAAACGTTTAGGGAATTCGGGACAGACTGCTGAGTCTGGCTGTGTTTTGTACCTGCATATTCCTTGGTCACTGAGTCCACAAGGTGCATTTTCTTCTATTCTTTATCAGTCCAAATTCATCTTGCAAATCTCTCAGTGGTGCCTTCCTAGGATTTGTTCTCTTGCCTCCCTTTGGATGAAGTGCCTTGAGAATCTAGATGGATCTCTAAGCCCATCTCTTTTGTGTGTTGCTGCTCTCTGCTTGCTTTCAGTTTTAATCCTGTGGGCATAACTAGCTGGAAGTTTTGCCTTTTTTCTCTTTCTTTTTGTCTGTCTCTCTTTTTTAATCATCATACACTTTCAACTGGAGGAGGAGGTGGAACACAATACTAGATTGTATTTGGGCCAGAAGGGCTTTATTATTCTTTTTTCCCTTTCATCTGTGAGACTCCTTGTGCTTCCATGCTCACTTTTTATAAAGACCCCCTGGCTGCAACAAGTTAGACCGTCTGACCAAGCCTCATCTCTCTGACTCTATTTATGTCTCCCTCTCCATATGCCAGAAAGTGTCATTTTTCTGCCACAGTATCTTCTGGTACCTAGGGTTTATATGCTTAGCAGCCTTTGCCTGGGTATTGGGAGCTTCTGTTGTGGGTACTGAGAGTGGTGAACTGAATATCACACAGACACACATCTTCTTGGTGTCTGGGCGAACAACGAGATAGTGCCTACTTTGGTGTTGCTCAAACTACTTTTCTCCACTGGATCACTACGCATTGCAGCCTGTCCCTTACTAAGGCACAGCTTTTCCAGTGACCAACACCCTGTCACTAAGGAATGCCATGTTTTTTGTTTTTTCTCCTGTAGTGTTATTCTTTATTTATCCACGGGCTAGTGCTGACTGAGCCTCTGTCCTTTGGATGGTTCTGTGGCTGGTACCCTAATCTGTGAATCTTGAGCACTGGGTACCTTCTCCTAAAAGGAAGGGAAAATAGGTTAGGAACCTATTCAATGGATCCTGCCACTGAGGCAGTGCTTCTTCCTTCCTTCAGGATGTTAGATCCTCGCCCACAATGGTGCATTCACTCGACTTACAATAGGAGAGGTGCTTCAATCCAGAAGTGGCCTTCTTCCCTTTCTAAAGCCCCTGGTACTAGACTTGATTTGATAGGTATCTTCTTAATGTTGATTCCCTTAATGCATTGTTTGCTTCCTTTTTGAGTACCTGTGCTTCCCTGTGCTACTGCTTTTTAGTATCCCTTGGAAACCTCTGCCATTAGTTGCCTATGATGAATCTCTATGATTTATTATAAGAAATTGGCTTATTTGATTATGGTTAATCCCAAGATCTGCCTGTTACCGGTTTTTTGGGGTGCTAGAGTCTTCCTCTAGTGGTGATTTCTCCATTCTTTTTGTCCTGAGCAAAAAGTTGGTCAAGACAAGCACAAAGAGTAGCAAAAGTTTTTTAAAGGTAGGAAAAGAAGCACACTCTGCAGAATGAGTTTGGGCCAACTAAAAATAGGGAAAGCACACTCTACAGTGTGATGGTAGACCACCATGCAAGAGGGAACACAATATTAAAAACTCAATATGAGCTGTCCTTTTTGTCTCACCTATTCCTCAGGCTGACAATAGGCCTAGTCCATCCTATTGGAAATGTCCTAGAGTTCTCATGAGTAGTCTACTTGCAGGGTTTTGGAGCTGTTCTGTGCATCTCTCCTGGGATTTTGTAATGAATAGATCATACTTTCTAGTCAGTTTTACCACATCTTATGCCTACCACCTGCAAACTGAACACCTGTGAAACCTGGTAATGTTAATTCTAGTACAAGTACAAAGATCCTGTGAAGTAGCTGTATAAACCGGTGAGGGCATTCTGCTTTACTTACTATTATCATGTGGGTGCATGGCCACAGACATAATGAGGAATAATATTTAACCAAACATCTGGTTACTTGTGCTGATCAAATTGATACATAAAACTAACCTTCACATAATTCAAATGGAAAATATTATTAGTTAAGATTTCTATAAGATTTTATGTTGAACTTGTTTTGGAAAACTGTAAATTAATCTGTGTTTAAACACTGTCTTCATCTGTTCAAGCTACTTGAAGAAAACACTAAATGAAGTGGCTTATAAAGAACAGAAATTTATTTCTTATAGTTCTAGAGGCTGGGAAATCCAAGTTGTAGCACTGACATTCATTGTCTGTGAAGAGTTATTTATGGTTCTTAAAGGTAACTTCTTAGTGAGTTCTCACATCTTCAGCTCCTTATGAGGTCACGAGTCCTATATATGAGGGTTCTCTTATGACCAAATCACTTCTCCAAAGTCCTGCCTCCTAATACCGTCACATTAGAGGTTAGGCTTTGACATGTAAATTTTGGTAAAATAAGCATTCAGTCCATTACAGACATTTATGCATGTAAGACACATATATAGGTGAAAATACACATATCTAAAAGTCTCATGTAATGGTTATCAAATATTCATTTTGTAATGTGTCCTGTTGCTTTATATTTTAGTTATGATGATGTGTTAACAAGGAATGCAATAAGTATAAGAGAGCAGATGGAACTCATTTGTAATTTAGAATGTGATATAATGTTTCTTTTAGTTATTTTAGTCTGGTTATTAAACTAAATGCTAACAGATAAGTCTGCACTGATACTCTATTTCATTGTTTACCAGCATGTACTACAAGTTGCATAGTTTGTGTTGTAATAGGTCAAATAATTTGTTTTCCATTGATTTACATTTTAAATTTATAGGTAAAAATATGAATGATGATTTGTAGAATAATGATTATCCTTTGTAATCTGTTTACTAATGTGCATTTGGTTTATTTGGGCAAAAATTAGCTATATTTCAGAGTAACAGTCATCTTTCTTCCATTACCGATTAACTTGCTCTTTGTCTGACAGTTTCATCTATTGTGCTTGCTCATTATCAATAAATGACTGTACTGTTCTTGATGAAAAGCAGTAGAATTGCTTAGATAGTGATTCTGTTACCATTGATGTTCTGAAGACTTACATTATTGTTTTTTATTTTAGTATGCTTAGTCATTCTTTTGTCATTTTTATTGGTTGTTTTATTCAGTAATTCAAGTAGATTTATTTATTCCCAATTAGTTGGCAAATGTTTTAATGTATATGCTGATTGTTGTATAGATAATGACTTATATGCTGTATATAGAAACAAAAAGTTATAAATGAGGAAAAATAGTATAAAAGTTTATGTTGCCAATGAAAATATGGTGGAAGAATAAGAGCTACAAAGAAATTTGAAATTTATTAAAATGTATCATCCTTGACATTTTATGATGGGTAAATATAATAAGCACTATCTCTGGCTTCTTTTTATTTGCTGTCTTATATGCAGTTTGCTCTAAAGAAATTAATACTTTTGAAATGAATATGGCTATAGTATATTTTATATGGAAAAGTACTAGTGTTTCGTAAATATTTGGTGGGTGACATCGTACCTAAAAGGATACAATTTTTATAATTATTTATATATTTGGGATAGGTATAATTTAAACTTTTTTAGCCTTTTTGACTGGAAAAAATAAAATATTTATATCTCTTATATGAGAAGTCGAGGTAGGTAAGCTTTTCTAGTTTAGTTACAGCAAAGATTGGAGGATTGGGGCGCAACATTAAGACTTTTATATTATTTTTTTACAAATAAGTTTACAGGAAATGTTGAGCCTCAGATTTTACTATCTGATTTTCATTAGGTGTTTTCTTTTGGGTTGTTTCTTTTCTTTTGGGTTTGTTGTATTTTAGAGACAATTTATAAATGGAATAGACAATACTCTAAATCATTGGAAGTTTAGAGTTCCTCCAAACATGGTAGCCAAGCAGTATTTATATACAGGAAAAAGTGTACAGTTGATATACATAAGTAGCACAATTGGTTGTAATTGGGAATTTGCCTTATTTGGGCATGCTGTGATGAGGCATTTGACTTATGTGGGCATAGTATGATTAGTTGACAGCCTATGTTTGGCAAACGCTGGCTTCTGTGGTTGGCTGAGATTCTATTAACTGTTACAAGAATACATCCTTCATTGAGTGGCAGTTTGTTTCTAAATGTATTTCATTATGTATGAAGGCAGCTTTAACATAAACTTAACAAACAAGTGAAATAAGAATGATAAATTCTCATTCAGTAAAATTGGATTTGGAGTTAGAAAACTGTGTAAAGTTCACCATGTAATATAAATATGCACTAATGTTCAAAACATGGCTTGTGCAATGCATGGTAACATACTTTATGTTTAATTTTATAGTCTGTCAGAAACTACACCAAATGTCATGTAAGAAATGAGCAGATTTGCAATAAACTTACCAGCTGTAAAAGCTGTTCATTAAACTTGAATTGTCAGTGGGATCAACGACAACAAGAATGTCAAGCTTTGCCAGGTAAAGATTTAAAAACTTGATAAATGAGTTTTATTGGCTAAACAAAAAATATTCTAAAAGACGTTTCATAATTGTATATTGTTTTCAATTCTTTTTAAGGAAATAAATATATTTGAAAAATTCAGTGTTCATTTTAACATGATCAAAACCTGTAGGTAGGATATACATCAAGAAAATTTGTGGATTCCTCAATAACAGAGTTAAAGGCTGAAATGTTTGAGAGTTACAACTAGTTTCATAAGGGTTGCACTAATCCATTGAAGGCCTTTCATATCCAGCAAGAGGCACTGATAGGTTTAGTGTGATGCAGAGACTTACATGACTGTGTAGATCACTGTTTTCACAAAACATTACATTGAGAGTTAGTGCACACTAGGGCATAACTTTATATTTACACCTATATTTTAGACAGCAGTACTCTTTACTGTTCAATTTAGAGTCTATAGAAAAACTACTACTGCTCAAAAGTATGTTTAAACTCTAGAAAGACTTGAATAGCTAGGTAAAAGGACACACTAGACAAAAGACTATAGCTTTTTTACTAAGAGTATATAAATGAGATTCTCTTCTCTTAATTAAAGAATCAAAGAACCCAATTTAAATGATAACATCACACTGAGGTAACAAATTAGATTTGGAAGTCAGTTAGCCTTACATATAAGAATAACTTTGAAATTACTTTTACTATGCATTGGTTGTTTTTCTCTTAAAGTGATTTCAGCTTTTGTAAACTGGACTCCAGTACAAAAGCACAGCATATTGCAATGAAGTAGACTTATACAGAAAACCTAGCAAATAGTCACTGCGCTTTAATAAATGTTGTAGAGCTGTAGCTTATCTTGTTTAATAATTAAAGAAACATTTAGGATCCTCTGCTTCCATTTTTTTATCAAAATATTAAGCAACTTTTGTTTGGGATATTGAGATATTTAAAATGTTTTATTTAAAAAATAGTTTATGATATTTTGAAGATGATATGCATTGTATTAAGTGCTATTCTATTGTTTGGCTATGAAATTTTATTTTTTTCTACAAAATTAAAAATTGACTAAATTAATATAGAAGCTATATTTTGTACTCTATAATAATTGCTTAATACTTTTTTGTAATAGACAGTTTTTCTTTATTTAGCTCATCTTTGTGGAGAAGGATGGAATCATATAGGGGATGCTTGCCTGAGAATCAATTCTAGTAGAGAAAGCTATGACAATGCAAAACTTTATTGCTATAACCTTAGTGGAAATCTTGCTTCATTAACAACTTCAAAAGAAGTAGAGTTTGTTTTGGATGAAATACAGAAGTATACGCAACAGGTAACCTCCATACTTATTTATATTATTGAAATGTGGGTTGATAATCCCATAATTCTTGGAAGTGAATCATTCTTTTTGATTTTTTATATATTCTCTTAAAAATAAAAATGGAACTGATTTCAAAGATGAACTGGCAGAAACACCTCATTCTGTAGGTGTATTTCATAAAACAACTTATCTCATGTTTTGCATAGTAAACCATTATGAAATCGTTTTAATTGAATAAATACTCTTAAAAGCATGTGTATATAACTTCATTATGATAATTCCATACTGTGTAGCCTGATAGAGATGGTTTGGACTTAAAATTTTTCAGACTATTACCAGTTACTTGGTAAAGAAATACTTAATGCTTTTTTGATATAGCTGATTTTATATAATGGTGATGGAAAGTACATAATCTAGACATGCTACTTATTTCTACAAGGTAGTGATAGTTTAACCTTCAAGTACTAAGTTACTAATTTGAAAAGTGGAATTTTGAGCAATAAATGAGATATTACATGTTCATAGTATAAATGCCTTTGTCGGTGTTTGTTATAATTAGCATTATGATTTTCACTTATAGATTGTTTTTTGAAATAGAACCGGTATTATTTCCAGGAGTCATTGTTTTATGAATTACTAGGTAACTAAATGAATGTTTGATAAATAGATAATACTGACATTGATAGTAACCATTTTCCCCAGACTCGTGTTCTAGTTTTTCCACGATGAATAATTAAATTTTATGTGAACATTTACTTCACTATGGACCCTAGTTTTTTGATGGTTTTAGCATGCACAGTTCTCATGAGTACCTGTAATGGATCATCTCATTCCTAATGTCAGTTTCTTTCTTTAGAGCTAAAACTCTGTCTTCCATTAATAATATTAAAAATTATATTGCTTGTCTTTTATAAATATTATGATTATTTTGAACTGGATCTCACACTGTGATACTTTTTGGCCTTATTATAGATGCATGCCTGGAATTAATAGGATAAAGATAAAAATAATTAATTTCATATGACCAATTGATTTGTAAAACTTTATTGTGTGTGTGAAACTCTAGCTGCTTTTCTCTCAAAGAATGGACGAACATTATTTAAGATATATTTACTGAACACCTTTAGTGTTCTTGGCAATTTACTCTTCTTTGAATACAGAAATCAAAATACAACCGTTTATCTCAAATAGTGTAATAGAAAGAGATACAAACACAACTGTGAACTGAGATGTTTGCAGTGAAATATATACAACCCGAGAGTGAACATAGGTAGGAAGGTGGACTCTAGTCAGCAATATATACTGTAGGAAAAGTTCCTAAAGAAATGCCCTAGCTAAGTTTTATAGAATTTGGGGCTGGCCAGCACTTAAAGATATTTCTAAGGAGGCCAGAAAAAAATCCTATGTTCCAATTGAAAGTTACCAATTTATGGCTGGAAGGTAGGATATATATAGTGGCATACAGCAGAAACCTATTGATTTTATATTTTAGGAAAATAAGGCAGGGTATTTTTTAAGTTTTGTTTTTTAACATATGGAACATACAACATAAGTTAAGATCTAGTCTCTTCAGGCACATTATTTCTTTACAAAAATGAGTAATGAATACTTATTAATACAAAAATCAGTTGTAGTAAATATCCATCACTTATAAAGAGTTTATTGTTTGCATATTCACATTTTCTGAGTCTTAGAAAGTACTAGTAAAATTTAGTGTTTTTTGTTTAAGTCATATTAGTTTTAGTTGTTGCAGCTTAATCTTGAAGTGTGATATTTCAGAAGTAATATATTTTAAGGTTTCTTATGTTAGTTGCTAATTTTTTTGTCTATTACAAATCATGAAATTAGACTAACATTTATTGTGGATGTATGATGAACTTAGACTTGGTAATTTGCTGTCTAGCATGTTGTATAAAATGAAGGATGTTTTGTTTTATCAGAATGCTGAACTTTTAACAGAATTTCAAAGTGGAAACTTCTTCAGGGTGACATTCCATTAGGCATATCTTTATAAAATGAATTATGTCCTGAGTCATTGCATTGTATAAACTTAAGATAACCCTTCTTTGGCAAATAAAGATCAATAACTTTGTGTACTTTTATGACATAATATCAGACCAAATGATCATTTACTTATCAGAAATGGCTAATGAAATGTTACTGTGATTTATGGTGTGCTGTAGTAAATTTTCATAATATAGGAATTATCTCTCATTTTTCACTGCCTGTTCAGTTCATTTGCTGAGTAATAGTTACTTTAAGTATTTTATCAGCTGCTGCATGTTTTCCCTCTTTTTTTCTCTCAGATTCTTATCATGATGAGTTAGGAAGTAATATTTCATTTTAAATAACTTGTCTTTACTATGGTAAGGGGACAGTTAGAATTGCTGTAATGTGAAACATGAGTGTTAATCTGAAATGTGTCTGATTAAGAACTTTAAAAATTTTATGACTTTTTCTTATCAAAATATCTTTAAGAACAGTATATAAACTATATGGTGATCACAGTGTAAAGCGGATTGTATATTTTTATAATTAGAAATACTGTTTATTAAGTACCACCTCTGTGGTACTTAATATTTTTATTCTAATGGTACTTAACCATTTTTATTCTAATGAACTTAGCAAAATATATTGATTAATTTTTATGTATAGTGTATTATATTGGCAGGGTGAAATCTGCAGTCATAATGAGTTCATAAAATATTTTATCTATGAAATAGCTGTTAAATATTTACTGTGTGCAGTTCAGTAAGTGTGAATTTATACATGCTGCAAATTTCTAGGTTGATGGTTATCTTTTATTTATTTATTTAGTTTTATTTTTGGTACTGGGGATCGAACTCATGACCTAGCGCTTTCCAGGCAAGTGCTTGTGACATTAAGCTAAATTCCTGGCCCCAGTGGGTATCCTTTGAAGATCTCTAGAACCATTTGCAGAACGTTAGAATAAATATTCAATATAAATCTTATTATACAGGATTATATAGTGTAAAAAATCATGTAGAGTTTTTTATATTGTAATAAATATCAGTACTTTAGTATTTTGGAAAACTTAATTTACCTTACATTAAATTAAAAACATGTATAATTTAGTGGAATTTGGTTAAAATATTAACTTGGATTATAAACTTTTTTGCATAATCATAATAATAGTGTGTTTTGAAATTGTGTAATGGTTACAATAAAGTTTATAAATATATAAATCAAAAATTTTAGTATAGTTATGTAGCTTTTGTCAACCTGTTAAATTTTCAGCAGATAAGGAAAATTTTATCAGTTTTCTTGATTTTTTTATTAATGGAAGTATAGGACATAGTTTATATAAAATTACACAAAAGACCTAATATAGTATCAGAGGGCTGAACTAGGGGAGACTAGTTCTTATTTTCCCTGTTCTTTTGTGAAGTTGTTATTGTCTTCACTTAACTTCTTTGTACTGTTGGTTTTGTTCTCTATTTTTGCAATGTGTGGATAACGACAATTTATCTTTAGATTTTTAACACTTTAGCTTGACAGTAGTAGGAATAGTAACAGAAGTAGCAGTAGCAATATGTTGTTTTTAATGAAGTAGTTATTTAAATTAGATATTTATAGCCCTATTTTATAGGAAAGAAAATAGTTACACAGGCTCTAAATAAATTACTTTCAACGCAAAGCACATGCTTCAAAAAACGTTTTCTTCTACCTACATCATTCTTCAAATTATGCTAGAATTATTAAATTATCCTTTTCCTAAAACAAAGATTTTTCCATATATTTTAAATGTAATTTGTACTGATAATAAATTGCTTAGAAACATGATTCATTAATTTTATATCAATTTTTAATGTCCTTTCTATTGTGTTTTTAAAATTTTTACTTTTATCAGTACTTGTTTGCAATAATGATTATATTTCTCATGGGGGATTTGGCATATGTACGTAACATGTCTTAATTAGTCTTTTCATCTCTTTCCTCTCCTGTCCCTCTATTTCTTGGTCTCCTTCCCTTTTGTAAAATATCTAATATCTCCCTTTCCTATTATCTATTTTTTCTACTTTTCTCTTTATATTTTTGGGTTCTCTTATAAGAGAAACCATATGATATTTAAGTTTATATGTGTAATTTACCTAACTGGTCTCTGGATACATCCTCTTTCCTACTTTTATGTATAAATACTCATTTTACTTACCCATTTATATGTTGATGGACATACTGGCTGCTTATAAGATTTAGCTGTTATGAATTATGCTGATATAAACATGAATTGTATGTTCAAAGTGTGGTTATTATGATTTTTGTTACTATAAATTGTGAATGCCTCTCCACAGCTGTCTCTTGTGGGTGTCTCACTTAGTCACTGTGTTAGAGGAACAGTAGAGACTGTGAAGTGAAGTTGTCCTGCAGTTGTTTTGTGCTCATTCTCCACATGGCTCTTGATTAGAACCTCTCTAATATGGCAGGCACTGCAGTGGGTTTCTTCTCCAACTTTAGCTTTCCATGAAGCAGTCACTTTCAGAGTAAAATTCACTATGTTTTGTAGTTTGCAATAGCTAGGGGGCTTTCTTGAGGCTAGCTTAGTTGGCCCAGTGTGTTACTTCTCTCTGATGAGTCAGGCTGTCTCTCTTCCTAGAAATTAATCTCACCCACAATCAGGTTAGTCAATTGTGTGGTGCCTCTGCTGCCCTGTCCTGAGGGGAAACAAAATGCACAGGAGCCTAGAAAGTGGCAAGATTCCATAGCCAGGCAGCTGAATCCACAGATGCAAAGTTGAATGCAAGTGAAGGTGTGCCTTTCATCTTTTTAAATTCTTTTTGCCTTCTCCCCTCCCCTCCTTTTTTACTATTGTTTACAGAAAGTATCACCTTGGGTAGGCTTGCGCAAGATCAATATATCCTACTGGGGTTGGGAGGACATGTCTCCTTTCACAAATACAACATTACAGTGGCTTCCTGGTGAACCAAATGATTCTGGGTTCTGCGCATATCTAGAAAGGGCTGCAGTGGCAGGCTTAAAGGCAAATCCTTGTACATCTATGGCAGATGGCCTTGTCTGTGAAAAACCTGTTGGTAAGTGGTCTGTTAAATTAGCATTTCTTTAAAAATGTGTTTTCAAGCCCTCTTCTTATACCTCCTTCCAAGGTATAGTCTAAAGTAACTTACAGCACTTTTTAATGATATCAATCACCTAATTATTATTTTTATGTATATTTATCACTTATTAATTGATCCTAAGCATAACTTGTGAAAATAAAACTTTATAGGTTTTACAGTGTATTTTTTATTAAAATACTGTGATTGAAAACATGATTATATACTATAGTAATAATCTTTTTTATTTATTAATGTCTATTTTTATCATAATAGTGTTTGAGAATATTTGTCTTTTTGATTTGCTTTTAATATTAATGACTGACATATAATGTAATCTTATAGTTCTATTATTAAATTTGGCAAGTAAAAATGATGTATTGCTATAGTATCTTTTAGAGGAGATTACTGTTATATCAGAAAGAAATATTGAATATTTTCTTTTACAATATAGTATTTTATTATGATAAAATATATAACATAGAGCTTACTGTTATAACGCTTTTGAAGTGTACAGTTCAGTGACAGTAAGTACATTCACACTCTTGTGCAAACATTACCACCACTAATTTTCAGAGCTTTCATTTTACAAAACAAAATTCTATGATCATTCAACAATATTTTCCACCATCACTTAGAAACCATCATTCTATTCTGTGTAAATTTGACTTTCTATACTTCATATTGTAGACTCATATGACTTTTATTATTTTGTGACTAGCTTATTCCCATAGTATAATGTCTCCAAAGTTTATCCAAGTTATAGAATGTGTAAAGAGTTTCTTATTTAAGGCTGAATTATGTATGTATATATAATGTTATAAATGTATGTCTAATTATATAAATATACCTATATAATTTTATATGTACATACATGTCTATATAATTCTGACTTCAAAGGAGTTCCATTCCAGGAGAACGTTTGTAAGCATTTGTAAGTCTCAGATTCATTTGTAAGCCTGACAAGTGAGTCTTATACATCTTTAGCACACATATATAATGTCTTTGGTTTGTACTTCCTAACAGTCCCCTCCACATCACTGCTGCTTTTTGTCTTGCTTTTGGACTGTGATTGAGCTGGGCTCTGATTGAGCACTGTACTATATACACTATTGCACTGTACAGTAAGCTCACAACAACACAGCTGTGCCAATTGTTTGGTACACATGTGAGCTACTTCCACGATTTATTCACATCTACGCATTTTCATAATGTGAGGTCTACTTGTATCTTTGAAAGTTCCCAACTTGAATATTTATAATCGGCGACCTACTATATGTATAATTTTATATGTGTGTGTACACACATACACGCATATATCTCCTGGAGTTTGCTTTTCCTTTCATCCATGAGAAGACATTTTGAGTTAGTTCTACTTTTGGCTATTGAGGGTACTGCTGTGAATATGAATATACACCTATGTGTTTGAATTTCTGATTTCATTTCTTTTGAATACATATCCTAAAGTGGAATTGCTAATCAAATTGTAATTTCTGTTTCAGTTTTTGAGGAATTGTCATTGTTTTTCACAGAGGCTGTATCATTTTACATTCATATTAGCAGTGCATAGTTCCAATCTTTCCACTTATTTGCTAATAAGTGGAAAAATAACGTTTGTTATTTTTATTTTTATACTTGCTTTTAAAATCACATCCTAATGGATGTGATAAAAATATTTATACAAATAATTTTTAATAAGTTATATTTTTATTAGTTGTTTATATGGCCGACATGTTTAGTGATAGAAATATGATTTGATAAGGTATGGAATGTTTCTGGAAAAATTATGGCTGGGAAAGGAAATAATGCTGATATACATAGTATTGACCTAACAGAAAAACTATGTAACATGTTAACTATTTATAGTTTTCAAAATTATACAATTTATAAAGAATTCAAAATTTTTGCAGGAATTTTTCAAGTTTAATAATAAATTTAAGCAATATTGATCTGTTATGTTCGTTTTCATTTACCTAACTAGATTATAATGGCACATGGGTTAATTGAAACATTTCCTAAATAGTAAAATAAACCAAAATTTGTACATTTGCATTAAAATAGTTTAACAAATGAAATATTTATGTTTGTGGATTTATTCCAGTTAGTCCAAATCAAAATGCAAGGCCTTGCAAAAAACCATGCTCTCTAAGGACTTCGTGTTCCAACTGTACAAGCAATGGCATGGAGTGTATGTGGTGCAGTAGTACAAAGCGATGTGTTGACTCTAATGCTTACATAATATCGTTTCCATATGGACAGTGTCTAGAATGGCAAACTGCCACCTGCTCTCGTAAGTATCTTTCCAGAGTGACTTTTCATTTAACAGCAACATATATTACTTTTCTGTGATGGAAAGAATTTAACATAATGAGAAATTTCAAATAATGAGAGAAAATATTCTTATAGATAGGTTTAAAACTTCCTAGTTCTATTATGGTCTGAGCTTGAATTTCATGGAGCATGTTGCCCAAAGGGTAGCAATATCACTGTCTACTTATCCTTTCTTTTCCTTCATCTTCTCATTTAATTTTCTTCTAAGGGACAGGCTGTTCAAGTTAGAAGTCAGCTTCATGAGAAATACAGTGAGACCCCTTTTGCTGGCAAATCTAGTTTTAAGGCCTATAAGTGTCTTTCTTACTCCTGGGATCCAGTATTCCATAAATGAGAACACAGACAAATAGTTACTAAAAATTTGTATTGGAAATGGTCTAAGATTTGTGTTGGTTTGAGAAGCTGTCACAAGAATCATTGAAGTTTTTCTTTAAGGAATTTAAGAAACGTGTCTTTGCAAATGACAAAGATGAATTTTCCAGTCTTAATACTGAGTCACCAATGTGTACAATTCACAAATTGAAGAGAAGTATATTATAAGATAAAATTTTCATGATTTCTGAAAAAGCTTTGGTAATAGCCAGCATTATTAAAATGGGTATATTTAAATAAATATTCTAATTACTTAATTGATATTCTAAATTAGGTAGTTCATAGACATTCATTAAATACTATAATATGTTTTGGTTCTTAATATGTAGAATCATAATGAAAATAAAATTTTCATGAAATAGAATGAAATAGCATATCAAGAAACCTAATCATATAGCACATATCTTATAACACTGTATTTCTTTGAGTATTTTGTAGATTTTATATGCACACCTAATTAAAAGCCTCTCTTTTTTGGGTAAATGAGGATGCGAATTACTTTTACATTTGCTGACACTTGCTTCCAAATTGATTTTTCAATTTCTCAGTATTTAAAAATTGACTATTTTACAACCTGACTTTCAAAAACCTAAAAATAAATTTAAAAGATTGTTACTTTTATTTATAAATATCATTAGTTCATCTATAGTCTTTATACCACCCATAACTTTATGAACCGTGTACAACCTACATAATCTTTCCTGTGACATTGTTTTGTGTAATTAAAAAAAGGAAAAGCCTTAGAATTTTAGTTTTGAATCCATTAAATATTGAAGAATGAATTTTTCAAATTTTATCGGTGCATATTGCTTTCCACTCAAGCAAAAACAATACCAGCTTTACCTTATTTAATAGTTTTATAACTAAAATTAAAACCGAAGAAACTAGAATGTTACTTGGAACATAAAATTTTATAACTAGTTTTTAAAATCTAAACTCTAATAAACAAAACTAGAAGATTTATACTTTGCTATTCAGTTCTAGAAATAGGATAATTTTAAACTAAAAATTTTATCAGTATATGTTTGCAGTACTTAATGATTACATTTATTGGGGGAGTTGGTACATGTACATAACACATCTTAATTCCATTTACTTTCTCATTTCTTCCTCTCTAACCTCCTTCCTTCCAACTGTTGGTTCCCTGCCCACTTACGAAAGATCTATCTCCCTGTTTTCTGTTATCTATCTTTTATTTTGCTCTTTATTTAAACCTTATCATTCTTTATTTCTGACTATTACTCCATTGCATTTATATACCACATTTTTTTGTTTACTCATCTGCTGACATGTAGACCACTTTGAACATTTAACTGTATGAGTTGTGTTGCTATAAACATGGGTAGTCATGTATCACTATAAACTGATACCTTTAACTCTTTTGGAAATATACCTAGAAGAGGAATAGCTTGGGTACATGAAATTCCTAGTTTTAGTTTTTTGAGGCATTTCTATACTGATTTCAATAGTGGTTGTAGGGTTTCTTTTTCCTTGCAGCCTTGCCATCTTTTGTTATTATTTGATTTCTTGATGATAACCATTCTTGCTGGAATAACATGGAATCTCAGTGTTGTTTTAATTTGTATTTTTCTGATAACCAAAGATGTTGAACATTTTTTCATACTTATTGGCTATTTCTATTTCTTCTTCTGAGAAGTGTCTATTCATTTCAGTTGCCCAGTTTTTGATTAGGTGCTTTATTTTGGGCAAGTCTTTTTTTTTTTTTTTTTGAGTTTGTTATATATTCTTGATGTTATTTCTCTGCATAAGGAGTGACTAGCAGTAACTTTTCCTATTCTGTAGGTTGTCTCTTCAATATTTTGGTGGTTTCCTTTGCTGTGCAGAAGCTTTTTAATTTTATACAATCCCTTCTCTTGATCCTTGGTGTTACTTTTGGTGCACCTGGGGTTTTGTTCAAAAAGTCCTACTCTATGTCTGTATCTTCAAGAGTTTTACCTATTGTATCTTCCAACAGACTTAATCCATTTTGTTTTTAATTTATAACATGGGGAGAACTATGGTTCTAGATTCAGTTTTCTTTATTCATACAGCTAGTTTTTCCAGCACCATTTGATCAAACTTGTATTTTTGGTCCCTTTATTAAAGATCAGATGGCTAAATGTGCCTGGGTTGTTTGTGTATCATTTATTCTGTTTCATTGATCTATAAAATTCTTTAACCTAAGATTTCCCCAGCTGTTTAGAAAGCATTAATGTAAATAATGTATTAAGAAGAGTTTGGTGGGCTGGGACTTTAGCTCAGTGGCACAGCGCCTGCATGGCATGTGTAAGGTTGTAAGTTCAATTCCTGGTACAAAAGAAAGAGAGAAAGAGAAACAGAGAGGGAGAGAGAGAGGGAGAGAGGGAGGGAGGAAAAGAGACAGGCAGAGAGACAGAGAGAGAGAGAGACAGAGAGAGAGAGAGAGAGAGAGAGAGAGAGAGAGAGAGAGAGAGAGAGATTGGTTTGCTTGTCAGTTCTTCATAATGCATTTTAAAGACATTTTAATGATTTTCTTTCCTTAAGAGTATTCTAAGATAAAATTTCTTTTTCTAGCATATATACATGTATTCTAAACATATTAGAAAATCATATTTATAATGGCAAGACCTAGTTAATTTTGCCTCAAAAATTGCTTGATAGTAAGTAATTCCAATGTCAAGATAACACACCAATTTGAAATTTTTCACCATTAGCCATTAATTACATATCAACCTTGTCTAGTTTGGTAAATAGTATAATACAGTCAGTGATACTGTGGTTTCACTACCATCATAGATTCCAGGAAAATATTTCAAATGAAAGAAATTAAGGAGGATTGTGGAAATCTAGGAAATATTATCTAAGTCTTTTAAATGAAATATAGTTTACCATTATGCACTGTTGGAAAAATTTAAAATTTCCAAAGTAAGACTCTTCATGTCAATGAATTAATTGTGTGTGAGAGGTTAGTATCACCTCTAAGTATTTGATAGCTCACAGTTTATGAGTTATCAATTCTTTTTTTATTTGAAGAGATAGGTGGCACTAGAATATCTTATATCCTATCATTCAGCTATTCAGCATTCAAAGAATTTATAACAAATAATATCATTGATAAATCCTTTAGTATTATATTAGTTTGCACAGCCTAGTATATTGAGTTCCTGATGTTCACTTAGAAACTCAGACCATTTCTATTTACAGTAATAGCAGGAACATTTTTGCTTATTTTTTCCAGTAATATTAAATATGGAGTGGCAGCTGATTTTTAACACTACAATGATGAATATGAATTTGCCAGAAGTCTACCACTTTTTTCTTTCTGGGGATTTTCTACTCTGTAACTAGAAGATGTCATTTACAGTGCATTATATATCTGTCACTATTTTCTGTGAATAGATAATTCCCTAAACAAGGCGTGCTTCATTAGGAAAATAAAACATTTACAGAAAATCTAAACCCTGATCCAGGGATATAGCTCAGTCTTATGGTGGCTGCCTGGCAAGTGTGAGGTTATGAATTTTATTTCCGGTACCAGAATGAACAAACAGACAAACATACAAAAATTAAAAACAAAAACCAAAATGTTCAGCGCCTTATAGGGTGGTGTGATTAAAATTAAAAGCATTACTTAGCAATGAGTATAAATATAATGTCAGACACTTTATATTTGGATGATATCACAGCATTATTAGGCTGTGTAGAGTCTCTTATATTGTATCTCAGTCCAAAAGAATAAAAGTCGAGCTTCAGCGAATTAGTCTTAGTATGATATTCTTTATCTTTGAAATCTAGCAAGAGTATGTGTTTCGAGTTGTCTGACTGAAGGGGAATAGCAGGGTCCCATGTTCTCACTCAGTGTATTCTTGGGATGAAATCGTGTTTATCAGATGATAGCCAAATACTAGTATCTTGAACCCCTAGGAAGAGCGTTACCTACAAGCAATAGTCCAAGTAGGAGTCAGGAATCTCAGGGAATGGGCTTCTGTTACTTACAATTGATTTCCATAGTCAGAGATTTTTTTCACTGAAGACCTTCACTGTATACAAGAATGGTAAACAGCTCAGTATCCTAGTCAGTGACATAGGTTTTTATAGACCACTGGGGGTCACCTCCCTAAAAGTGCTATCACTGAAAAGGATTTTGGAAGTCTTTAAGCAGTGACTTCATTTTTCTCCATGTCATGATTACCATGCATCTTTTTTAAAAACATCCACATCAATTTATTTATCTCCTCTTGTGTACTTTGAATTAAGTCTATGTGTTAGGTATTAATACTGAAACATTTATATAAACTACTTTTATGAGATAATTTTATTATTCTTTCCTAATTATATTGATTTTTCTATAATTGTATTTATTTTTACTCTATAATTCTATTGAAATATAAGTTTATGTAACATTTTTAATGTTTGTGTCATGCAGCTCAGAATTGTTCTGGATTGAGAACATGTGGACAGTGTTTGGAACATCCTGGATGTGGCTGGTGCAATGATCCTAGTAATACAGGAAGAGGACACTGCATTGAAGGGTCTTCAAGAGGACCAATGAAACTTAGTGGAATACACAGTGAGATGACTCTTGATACTAATCTGTGCCCTAAAGAAAAGAACTATGAATGGTCATTTATTCAATGTCCAGGTAATAAAAATATGATGAAAACAATTTCACTTTCTGCTTGAATGAGCCGAGTTATTATAATCTTTGGTTGCTCATATCATTGTAGTATCTTAGCTTTTCGTGCAATTTACTTTATTCAGTGAAGCTTCATGCTAAGTATAAGAATACTGTCTATGACATCCATGATGGAGTCAGCTGGCCTTGTTTTGAAAACTGCATTGACGTTCACTACCCATTGGGGACCTATGAAGAACCATGTTGAATGCCCCTCAGAGTCAGGTACTGGAAAATTGTGGCATTTATCTACTGCCCCGATAGTGTTAAAAATCTGTCATACTTCTGAGCTGTACTAGCATCTCTGATCAACAGTTTTATTGGTATCAGTAAAAACCCTGAGGTAGAAAAGTACAAATAGAGAAGTTGCAGAATTTTACATAAATCACTGACAATGTGAAGGATCAAGATTAGATGAATAAAGAGAATGTGGCACACAGCAAAATTATACCTGCTCCAAAAGTTGAAATAGATAAAAAGCAATAAATCAGATCAAACTGTGGGTTTATAGAGTAACATGGATGAGTTTTAAAAGTATTTTGGTTAATGGAAGAAGCTTGATTCAAAGGCTAAAGGTTGTATTATTTCATTCATAATGTAATCTGAAAACATAAATCTATGGAGATGAGAAACAGGTTAGTTACTTACCAGGGGTAGGGACAAGAATTGATTTTAAGGGACATCACAATGAAAGTTTGATCCTATGGAGTTATTCTGTATGGTACATACTCCATATTTATCAGAACCCATAATGTGTACTGGAAATATAACTCACTGGGAGAGCATTTGCATAGCTTGTGGGAGACACTGGGTTTGAGCCCAAGTATCACAAGTACAAAACAGATCCACACTGTTTATCACAAAGAATCAGCTTAACTGTAAATAAATTCTAAGACAAGTCATTCAGGCTATTGAGGATCCAATGATGGAATTTGAATTGTGCCAATTGAATCTACTGTATTACAAATGTCATAACTTCATCCAAAAAATACTTTAGCTTTGGAATTACGATTTTGACTGCAGAAAGTTTAAAGAAAGGGAAAAATCTGAATATAAGTACACTATATTCTGTGGTAAATTTGTTTTTCCAGTTACATGTTAATGAATCTAACACTATATATAGTGGATTTGAATATATAAGTAAGTAAAGTATATTTAGTATGAGGCAGGTTTTCATTGTCAGAGAAGGAAGTTAAAAATTAACAAGGAGTGAAAAAATACAGTGAATGCTTTGGTGCTGGATAAGAGCTGAAACACGTGAGTTCATATTTAATACACACATGGATATAAATATAAATACATATGTGTATATATAAGTTAATATGAATACATATATAGTATCCATAAATTTCTTTGTCAAGAGTGAATGGAAGACATGACACTCTGATAAAAAGGAATAAAATGGATCAAATTGTTGGTTTAATGAATAAATCTTATATTCAGATCTTGATTTCTAAATTCTGTTCTCCAATGAATGTAACAAGGGCATTCTGGTTAAATGGATAATTCTATGGGCGTGGCAGGGAGAATACAAAATAAGCCTAGAGCACTTTGCATGCCCCAAAATATGAAAGTAACAAAGAAGGGAGAGTAGGCATTGGGGAAGGGGAGGGAAAGGAAGGGGAGGGGAGGGTAAGGGAGGGGAAGGAAAAAGAAGGAAAAGAGGGAAAAGAAGAGGAAAGGCAGGGAAGGGGTGAGAAGGGGAGAGGAGAGAAGGAAAGGAAAGGGGAGGGGACGCAGGGGAGGGAAGAGAAGAGAGATGCATAACCAACCTGAAATTGATCAAATTTAGGCAACAAAATGATGATTGCATTGGTTATAACTCAAAGAAGAAAATGCATATTTATGATTCTATGTGGATATACATGTTCCTTATAGAAAATTCCTAGTAAGACATATAAAAAAGATGGGAAAACTAGAGGTTTTACTTATGATTGGAATGTCATAGTAATATTGCTGTAGAAATAATCCTCTTTTTAGAATATTAAATTTAGCAGGTGAATTTTGTTTACAGAAACGAGTTTTTTTTTTTAAAGTAATTGAATCCAGGGGCACTTTTTAAGACTGAGCTACATTCCTAGCCCTTTTATTTTTTATTTTGAGACAGGGTCTCATCAGTTTGCCAGATTGAACCTGAATTTTTGCTTCTCTTAGCTTAGTCTCTCTCAGTGCGGGGATTACACATGAACACCACTGCAACCTGATTTAGTGGGTGAACATTTAAGGAGATATGGTATTTGCATGGCTTCAAAGTATAACTTTGAAAGTGTTTCCTAATTACTGTGGTGATTTTTAACACATGTCCATAATCTCTTTTGATAGTCCTTCCCCCTAGAACATGGTGTTTAATTTCTCTCCCATTGAGTGTGGCTTGTACTCAGTGCGTTGCATGTACTGAGTACAGTCCAGAAGGGAAAATGGCAACTTTAAAGTGAAAATGATAGGATATATCATATTAACAGACTAATGTTAACAAACAGGTAATAACCATGTTAGTATTACTTATCCCCCAATATAACATGATAAGGACACTTCTTGTCTGTGATAGTATTCATACCCAGAACTATTAAACTTAATGTAATTCTGAGGAAGCATCAGACAAACCTAAATTTTGGGACATTTTACAAAATATTTGACCAGTGCTCTACAAAAGAGTCATAGTTATAAAAGCGGAGGAAAATAAGGGATGGAAGGGAAGCATTTCTGGCCATGTATTTCACACTATGTAAAATATTTACCATCTGATCCTTTATAGAAAATATTTGCCAATTCCTTGTTTAGGTTAATATCCAAGAGAGAACAACTGGAGCTGTCTAGGAGACACACTTGAGAACATTCATAGCAACACTGTTTTAATGGCTCCAACCTGGAAATCATCCAGATGACCATCAACACATGAGCAAAGAAACTGATATTCCACACAACATAAAGCAGAACAGTGAAGATGGTTCTGTAATGTGGAAACAAAGAACACAGACATAAAGAAGGCTGTACTCTATTATTAAATTTACCTAGCATTAAGCAAACTATTAATTGATATGAAAGATCAGAGTAGGAATTAAGCAATCCAGGCAGATTTGCTAATAACTGCTAGGCATCACAGTTGAATTCTTTGATGTTTGACAATATTTGTGAGTTATACTTCTACATATTGATTAACATCTTATAACTTAATATTCACCTGAGATTCTTCCTATTTCATTTTTAAAATAATGTCTGTACAGATAGATTTTTTTTTTTCATTTTTGTGTTGTGGGTGAGAGATGGCTGTCCAAATCAGTGATGGCAGCACATGACACAGACCTGCTAAGAGGAATGGCAAGTTATTAGGTTTCTGTGCCTCTCCCTCCCTGCACAGAAATTGGTAGTAGAGGTAAGAATTGGCCCTTGAGCTTTGTTTCTGTCTGGAAAGATTTTATTTTATTCACTGATGTAGTCCTCAGCAATCTGTTGTCAAAAGAAAACATCTGTGTTTCACTTTGTGCTTCCTTCCTCCTCAAAACTATACTGAAGACTGCTGTTTCAAGTCATGCCTTCTTTTAAGTTTCTTTCTTATACATGATGCTGTAATCTACAAGGTCTACATTTTGTTATTTTCATACTTAAGATGCTCTTACTTTTTCTAGAGGTGGAAGTCTTACATCAAATTTAAACTTGAAAGCAAAGCCCCTCTTCTCCTTTGCTTTGAGTTATCTTGCTAAGATCTTTTCACCATAGATTCTTGCAATGAGATGGGATTGAAATAGATTATTCCTTCTTTTGATTTAATTTTTGTTTTTTATTTTTAAAATATATAGTTGCTTTGAAGTTTGGGTATTTTTGTCAGGTATAAATGAAGCCATAATGTATGGTTAATTTTCTTTTAAAATTCTTACTTTTTTCTCTTGGAGGACATACTGAGAAACACCTTAGGTAGCCTATTTGAATTTTCACTTACCAGACAATTTTATCATGTTTCTCTAGGCTATTACAAATAAATTTAAAAGAAATTAATTCTGGAAATACTATTTTATAGGAATGCAATTTATGTTTCTGTTATGTATATTGTAATTTGGTTAGCTAATTTTTTTAAACCTAATAGTTTTTCTTACAGACTTTTAAAGATCTCTTTTAAGTTCTTTTTAAGTTTTCCCCTTTTTAAATTGTTTGATTTATATATGTTCTTTGCTTACTGTACTCACTGGAAACTACAGTATAATATAGAGTAGAATTATTGAGCATGGTCATTAGTTTTAGTTGGAAAGCAATTAGTCCTTGCTTTATGTGTAACATTAGTGGTTGCTTTTTTTTCTTTGGATATTTTATTAGCTTGAGGAATAGCTTTTTTGTTTCTAGTTACTTTGCATTTTTTAAAAATCATATGATTTGTAATTTTTTCCAAGATTTTTCTGACTATATTAACATGATTATGTAATTATTTGTTTGTTTTAGTTTGTTAACATGGTTAACAATGTAGATTGCTTTTCAAATGGCAATTTTCCCTTTTTCCTGCTATCTTTATCAATCCTCTTTCTGGTTATACGTAGAGTTATATAATTGATCTTATAGCTTTTTTCTAATATAAGAATTTAAATTCTCTAAAAACTTTTTGATTAGTACTTTCATTTTAGATCACTTTCTAAGTTCTTTGAGATATCCATGTCATATTTAGTGTGTCTTAGAAATAATACATTCTTAGGTATTTTTGTATAATGCAATGATTGGGCCTTTTATATGAAATTACCAATAAATCTTAGTTTAAATTGACCCTCCAGCTTTCCCCATCTATTTTTTGTTCCCATTTCTTTCTGTAAATGAACTGACTATGCGCTATGGCATTTTATGTATTCTTTGTTTATATATATTTTTGTGTGTGCTTGCTCTAGTTTTTAAAAGTATTCATTTTAACTTGTCACTATCTACACTTAAGTGATATTATACTTCACATGTATATTACTTATTGAATATGTACTACTTTAAAGTACATT